GAGTTTTCTTCAAGGGAGGTTGCTTCAACCAATTTGTTAATTCGGAGAATCATGAATCAATTTATTAGGTAAGTCGTGATGTCTTTTCAATTCATTTTTATTTTTCCAATTACCTGCATAAGTTTTTAATACATTGATCGCGATTCTTGTAGGAAAGGTCCAATTTAGATAATTAAGTTTCTGCATCATAAGTATATTGGGTTCAAGGTCAAAAGTGTTTTTGATCCAGGAGCTTTCCCAATCAATTCTACTTTTTTTTTTTTTTTTACACAATTAGAATCCATGGACTAAAAAGTTATGTTTCTCTAAGGTTAGTAATGATAAGAATTCTTTATCCAAAATTGATAAGGCTAAGAAAAAGGACATGGAAGAAGATGTCAAAGAGATATTTGTCAATTTTCACGTGGATGCACCATTTTTTTCAATAAAGAAATATTATATCTTGATGTACGGAGTAAAAATTTACCATGTATAACTACCTCAGTTTGAGTTTTTATAGAACTCAATATTTTAAGTTATCTTCATTATAGAAATTAAAATAGGGTTCTCAATGATATGGGGAATTAAACAAAAAAAAAAAGGACAAAAACCTGCACGAAAACATCACTACCATACTAATTGTTACATTAGAAGTGCAATATTTTATTTAAAAGAACTCTCATTTTGATTCAAGAACAAAAATCTGTCATTGTGAAAGTTGATTATCTTTCTATAAGCCCATTCATAATGATCTTTATAAATTTTGATTTTCTAATCCAAAATGCTTAATACTAAACTTTTTCATATTACAAAGTTATTTACCACCAACATTTTATTAAAAGAGATTAAAGATTGATCTTAATTGTTCATTTTCTTTTAACTTTTAATACTAATAAATTTTGGGTTTTCTTAATTTTGCTAAAATTTTAAATGATTCTCCAAATTGCATTTTATTTTATTTTGAGTATGAAAAGAACAATTAACAATGATTTTCTTTTTGTTTCTACTTCATTAGGATCTATTATGAGTGTTTTTTAGTATGCAATAAAGTCTCTTTGGTAGTTTCTTAATTTTTTTCTTCTTTGCGTATTAATTCATTGAAATTTTTTCATTTTAAATTTTCAATAAATTATACATAAAAAATTAATAATTACTTTAGATTATAAATTGGTAAACGAAAAAATAAATAATGTACCAATGAATTTATACGTGCACGTATCATTATATTTATTTTAAATTATATTTCTCACTAAGTAACTATTTCAAAATAATTATTCATTAGTCTTCTCTATATTTTACCCTTTTCGGATAAAATTACTACCATAATCTCAATCAATGATTGCCCCTTCTTTCCATTTCCTCTTTCTTTAACCATTTTTTTTTTTTCCAAATTACAACCCTAAAAAGATTGGAGCCACTTTTCAGAGAAATGACAAAAGAACCAAATATAATGTATCAAATGTAATACTCAATGAAGCCAATTTCATAGAGAGATCATAGAAGAAACTTAGCTTTTAGTTTTTTGTTTTTACATTGCTTTTAATTCTTGAGAGTCTAATTTTCCCCCACTTTATGTGTGAATTTCTGTTAAGTCCATAACCGGATGACAATGGACAAATGTAGTTTGTGCGTGATCTTTGTAAAATAAAAACTTTTAGATTATATCTACCTGTTTCGAATTATGGATATTAAAATTTTATTTATGTGAAATATTTTGGTATCATCGAGAAAAACCCTCTTGATTATTGCTTCCTATTTCAATGGGGTTTGTTCTCAAAGGTCATGTGATTCTTATTGAGCCTGTATACCTATTTTGATAGCATTTGGAAACGTGAATTATTTATGTTATATCTTATTTATTCCAACGTATACCCCTCTAATGTTCTTTTCATTTAATTTTGACCAAAGTATTTACCCTTGCTGGTTTTGAATCTCTCTCGTGCAATTCTCCTCCTCAAGCTACATTTGCAGCTGTTATTTCTACTCCCCAGTTGCTGTTTCTGCACCAATTGTCCTCCTCCACGGCTCCAGTCGTGCACGACACATGCTTAGCCTCAACTCTCCAGCAACAGTTGGTTCTGCTCGAGCCCTCCATTCCATCTACTCCACAGCTCCACTGTGTGTGACGACTATGCTTGACTGCTTCAACTCTCCAACAATAGCAACAAGTAACCCAGTATATACATAGTATCTTTCTTACTTTGGCCCTTGAAGTTTGATGGAGATGCTTTTTTGAAGAATTTTTTTGAATGGATATATAACTTTCTGCAGTTTTCTTTCCCACTTCAATTTTTTTGGTTTTCCGATCTTTGTACATAGTAATAAATTGTCTTAACAGATTGGGTATAGATCGGACAACCTGCAAATCTGAGACAATTTGGTAAAAACAAAATCACAATTTCTGAACCTGCCCAGGGTTTACAGCCGGTTCGTATGTAATATGGACGGGCTGAGAATCCGCTCCAAACCTGCCTCATCGACATCTCTAATAAAAGTGTGAGCAATAAAACATCCTTCAAAATTCTAGGTACAAAGGTGACCATCCACTTAGAACATTAGCTTTTAACCTGTAAAATACAAACCTACAAAATTGCTGTTGTAAATAATTTTGATTCCACAGAGGACTTTCATCACGATTCTATTCTCTGTCGTTTTGCAGAAATATCATCTTCTTCACAAGTGCAAGTAATGATCTTGTCATCATTTTCTGTAAAATTTCCCTCACCATCATTGTATTTGAAACTCCACCCAGTAAAATCAGACTCTGAAAACAATGAGGTAGGAGTTGCTTTATAAAATGCTAAAGGAACTTGTTTTACCCTCCGTCGAATCTGCAATTTGAAGTTTGATATAAGTTTGAGACTGGAATTTGGAACAGGAATTGGATTCAATTCTCAACTTTTGGTATTAGACACCAATTGAGAAGGAAACAATGAATAAACTCTTACATAGCCAGTTGCTAACAATAACATTCAACAAAATTATAAATGCTGAGGAATTCACACAAAAATTAAGCATTAACAACTATTTTCTGTGAAACAACATAATAATAGTTATGTTACCTCATCTCCAAATATCGTTGCGTATGAACCAGAACTAAAATCTTGAATGTTGACTTCGGTGGTTTTGGCCCTTACAGTCAAATCGTTTTCCAGTGACAAACCAAACCTAAAAACAAAACATAAAATATTATAAACACACAAATGTATAAAGTGTGATAATCAGGAATATGTTACATACCTTGAAACAGGTGGACAGTAGTGGTGACGGAGTGTGTCAATTTCCCAAAGGGAGCTTCCTATTTGACAATGTCCATTAGAGGCACATAAATATAGCACAGGCATGTATAGTTGTAGACCCAAAAAAAAAGGGCAGTACACATAGAAACATGATAGCATGAAATTGGATGTCCCAGAAACATTAAGAACAAGAGGGATTCAAATCAATGGTTTTTATGACATGCAAAGGTCTGATATTCAATGCTCTTACATCCAGGAGCTTCTTTTTTTTGAAATAAACCTCCAGGAGCTTCTCTAGATTATCAGATATATTTTGCTTCTAAAGTAGGCAACTCCAAGCCAATCAAACTAATTTTGATAAGATTAAAAAACATGTAGCACCAAGAATATTGTTTGTCGAAATTTAGAATCAACTATTTAGTTCTGTTATTTCTTCATCAGAAAAAAAAACTTGGTTCTGTTATGAACCAGAAAGAGCAAATAGCCAATGTTAAACCCGAAAAACAGTGCATCTATTTTATTTAATGAATTTGCAATTTTTGGCTGTTCAGTAATAATTTTTTTTTGTTTTTGTAATAAACGTATATGTGCATGTATGTGTGTACTAAACACATTAAAAAAGATGTTCAATCTGACAAAAACAAAGAAACTTTTGTTAGAAAATTTCTTGAACATTTATTCCCAATTTAGAGAACAATTAAAAAATTTTTAAAGTAGAAATACAAAGTTGAGAACAATTTCCTGAAACAAAATAGCTAGTGAGGATTTCTCTACATAGAATTCGAGGAGCAAGTACAAGATCCTAGTCGTCAATAGAGTTAGGCAAACAAGAGAGACCAAGAAGATACAGAAGGATATCTTCGACATGCAAAAGCTTGACCAAGTCACATCCTGACAGTCTAAGGTTGGTTTCAAAGACTCAAATGTTAGTTAATGTTTACAGAAAGATACATGGACCTGTCCAAAACAATGCAAAGCATGCTTACTCATGGCATTAGACTTTATGGGGTTATACTGCTCATTGTTAAAGTGGTCAACGCCAGGTTTGTTGTCGGACATTTCTGTGTGAGCTACATCCCCTGCATTATCAACAGTTTCCTCAGCCTTCAAATAGCTTTTCCTAGTTTCATCACCAATTTCCTGCACAACTACCACAACTTCATTTCTCTGACATATATGCTACTCAAATTATCACATTTTACTTATTCAAAAACCAATTCTATAAATAAAGTGCAACAGAATCTGAAAGCTATGTAACACCATTCCCTATGAAAATTGCAGTGATATCATCTAATAAACCAAACAGTCTGTCCTTCCCTATGAAGACAACTGATTCTTCACAAAGTTAACACTTCCAGAAGAATTTCAGGGAAAAGATATTAAGGTAACAAATCCAATTTAAACCATTTCACTACTGACCACCGAGGTGAGAAATAGTGTCTTAATATCTATGTGTGTGTGTGTGTGTGGATCAAACTACTTATGCAGAGAGGTAAAACAAGGAGAATTATTGCAATAAATTAAAAATAACCAACAAGGTTTATAGAAAACAAAGTTTGTAAAAAAAGAGGAGTTAACCGAAAGAGAATGGACTTTTTTTTAAATAAGGAAAGAGAATGAAAATATTTCTGCTAATCCTGCAAGTTAGCAAATCCAAATGTCAACGACCATTCAATTATTAAGAAATTCGCAAAAGAACTACTGAAAAGTCAGATTTTCCAGATACCCGGTGCACCAAACAGTTGATTGAAGGGTGTCTACGCAAAAGGTTGTGGATCAAAGCTATAATAACCAGTGCTCCAGATGGGGGAACTGAAAGTGCCAGCCTACTTAATTTCTTAGCAAAAGCAGCAGCTAAATATGCTGGAAGCAATGGCGACTTCAGGCAAGAATCAAGAAGCTGCAGGAAATAAACTTCCAATTAAAATAGAGCAACCTCAAGGTACTCTAGTTTGATCATTTGTAATGGCTACCTCTTATATGACAATCAACAATTCAGTGTTTACCATTTTGCATTACCTGAAAAAATTTTGCCCTATGCTTTGCCATAAAAATAGAAGGTACTAATAGAGCATAAAGCTTTTCATAGAAGTTGGGGTACTCCAGACCATGTTGTGTCATGAGAAGAAAGAGGCTGCTAAGAGCCATGATACTGACAACACCACCAATATCATACGATCTTGTTAAAAAGTCACTGCACCACATTATGTAATAGTCAAACTCAAATAATTATGTAATAAATAATCTCATATACATATTGAGTGTATTTTTTATGTGCAATCTCACCATAACATTATGGGATTAGACAGATGGGGAATGACTGCCTGATGGAGATTAACAAGAACCTGAACATAATGCAGGTGAGTTAACAAAGTCGAGAACAGAATAAAATATCCCTTGTATCTACAAAGAAAAGAAATATGTATCAACAAAGAAAAGAAATATGCAAACTAAGCCTCCACCTATATTATGTGGACTAGGGTGCAGGTACCCACTATGTTTGTGAGTCTAAGTGGCGTCTTGGCAATTTTCATAGTAAAAGAAAAGTGACTTGGTCATGGAAGTCCAAAAATATTAAAAAAGTTAGATCAATATAGCTATGTAGGAAACAAGCATGATGCAGTAACAAAATAGTCTTTAGCACAAAAAATCAGTAATTTCAGATTAAAAAGGTGTGGTACTACTAATTAGTACTTCATAATCAATATACTATTACTTGTACGCAAATTCAAGATCTAAACATTCAAGAACCAGTGGTTTCGTTATTTAAAAAAAAAAACAAAAGAACCAGTGCTTTCATCTTCATGATTTCAAGCCTGTGATCCCTGCAGTATCTTACCTAACTTAAAAACTAACTTGACTAAATGATTCACCACTCAATTTACACTGTTCCTGACAGGTACATCTGCAGGAAAATTTAAATTACAGCCAAAAAGATTTGAAGTCAGTCATCCTGCTCGAATGCCAATCAATTATAGTCCAGTACTTTGAGATTAAGTTACGGCTTGAGATATATGGAATTTAGGGTTTAGGGCTAGTTAAAGAGAACAGAAGAATCCCTAGAGTTAATAGACTCTACAACCTATTTTTAATTAATTAATACTAATTGATTTAATTGGTGCAAATTGTTTATATGTTCATAGGTAAATAGTACATAAATCTTAGTCCCCTCCTAATAACAAAAGATACCATGAACCCTAGAGTCTTAGTTTCAATGCCCTTAGTTGAACATGTTTCCCTACTTAACGTACAATAATTCTAATTCTACCAATTTTCTTTATGAGAAAATAAATATTATTATAATGAGTAGAAAAATGCACAACAATGGAGGGCAAGAAATCCACTTAAAACAGCAAAAGAAGATGAGGAAGAAGAATATCAAAACAACAATGCTCCAAATCCTTTGCAGAATAGCCAAAAAGACACCCCTAAAGAAACCATAAGCCTTGGCCCATAAAAAGCGAAGAAAAATATTCCCTTCCATGGAAAAAAAGACAATAAATAATAATATTAGAGAGTCTAGCATTATGCTCAACAACAATTCCCACAAACTTGCAAGCATTCAAAGAACCCTAGCTTCCTTCTGTCCAACTCCCTTAAGGAGAATATAGAAGAAACACTCAAGGGGAGGCAAGGCGACCCACCTGAAAACAAAAGTACAAAGAGACAGGTTCGAAACCTACAAGCCACCTCATAGTGTCAAAAAAAAAGTGACTATAGGACTCAGCCCCTTAGAGATATATAACAAAAATCCCGGGAAAGGGCAGGTCTGTGAATTTGCACAGATCCTTATTGTTAAGCCTGTTCAGAACATCAAACCAAACCAAACCAAAACCTCAACCTCATATGGAATTTTAGCCTCCGAAAATGCATTACTGAAAGTCTCATTATGCAATTGAACACTTATGGAGATCAGTCCAGATTTCCTCCCTCCTGGGTAGGCCTTGCACCTCCACTGTAATTGTCTTCTGCCACTTCTTTTCTTTCTTCTACTTTCTTTTCTTTGTCAATTCTTGAGGCATAACATGAACACTTAAAATCATACATTTTCCCCCAATATTATCACAATAAATCCACAATGCATGCCAAACTACACATTTATCCCATTAGGAAAGGATCATAGACATGATAAGGTAAAAAACACAGTGATGAACATATGCAGAGGATGTAAACTATAAGAATTACCTCCTTGTAAATATCAAGTGGAAGTGGTAATCTAAGAAATGAAATCCACGCTTTACTAAATTTCAGTTTCATCTTTTTGAACATCATGGTAGGAGACAAGACCTGAACAAGTAGCGAACAACCAAGCAAATTATAAAATAGCTACACAAATAATCTAAGACTAAGAAATTATGTCAAGATGATGCAAAAATATGCTTATATTGAAAACTACTGACAACATACATTACTGTTATGTTTCTGAGTCTTGAGCTGCTTATCGTCCATGTTTGGAAGCGTAGAAGTTTCTTGGCAATCAGCTTCTTCTTTGGATGAAGCAAGAAAGAAACAAGAAGCAAATTAATGGAAAATTAACAAAGAAAAAGAGAAAACTCAGGCTCATTTTGCATATGGAAACAATTAGTTTTTATTTCCGATATTCTAATGTGTGTATCCATAAGTTCATGAAAGCACATATAGATTATATGTCTGTAAATTAATCAAACACAATGAAGTAATTTTCTAAAGAAGCACTAACAACAGCATTTCAAAAGTTTCAAATTTCATTATCATGTTCATATTTGTTTTTCACTGTTAAGCATATTATATATTCCATGTAGACAACATATGTAAATTTTGGAAATTACATCCAAAAAATTGCTTCCATTTAGTAAATGAAAAATATGTCAGCATACTACAAAAGTATGATTGTTATAGTTATAATACAGGGAGGTGTAAGGATGAGCCACTGGCAAATATCAGAGCATATTTTTCCATCTTCAATCCAGATAGACAACGGAAAATGACAAGTGCTCCAACATAGTAGGAGCTATGAAATAGCAAACTGAAATTACGTATACTAATAACAAAAAGAAACAAAAAAAAAAATTAAGAATTTGCTTTTTGCACACACAGAATCAGAACACCGGATGAAGATCTGTGGATGACCAGGTCCTCTCTTGGAAATGGACCAATTCTGCTTAGTAGACTCAAAATAAGCTGAAAAGCCCAAAAACACCCACAGCGCTCAGCTAAATTGACAAACCAGACACCTAGAGCCATGCGACCTTGAAACAATTCGCATCACCTAAGTTCAACTAGGTCACCTCTTACCACGTGTTCCTTTCGACCAACATTACAACCCTCCAATGACTCGAATGCCTGATGACAGCTTTTTTTAAAAAAAATAAAAAGTGTACGAGTAATAAAATCCTGTGACAGCTCTATACGTCTAACTTTAATAAAATCCGATGATCAAAGTCATTCTGGTTGTGTAACCAAGGATTCAATTGTTCTACACTTGCAACTGATCATTAGACAAAATTTAAGTGTTGGTCAATCAGCTCTAATGAAGAAGTGCCCTCGGTAATACTATTGAAGACCATTTAGAGTTATTTTACCCTCTCCCAAGCTCTATAACTAGAGCTCTCCACCAACTTGTTCAGGGAGACCAGGAAAACAAATTTAAATTCTACCAACTTGTCTACTCATTACCTTATTTACTACAGTTTTACACATTTGAAACCTACAAGTTTCTTTCATAATTCAAGATGCTAAGCTAACACGAGGAAATCCATTCCCGCTTTTGGAGTGACCAAGAAACCTAAGGGTAATACTAATTTCTCTTATATCTTTGTCATTTGTTTAATTGAAGAGCCAATTAGCATTTTGACAGTGTCTCAACTTCTGCGTTTCTAACTTACGTCCACTCATTGACTCATCTCAGAGTCGACACGATAAACCCAAAATCACATGACTTAACCAGATGGGCACATGACCGCCCCATGTCAATACATTCTCCTTTTCCTGTTTATTGATTTTGGTATGCATATTATGAACTGTTATTCTCTCTCTTGCTCATTAGTATATATTAGCATGTAATGAGTATGCGTGTTGTATCTATT